TGTCACTGGCCCTCATATGTGGGATCCGAACCGGGGCCCTCTGGCATCCCAAGCGAGTTCTTAACCATCGCGCCACTCGGCCGGCCCCGGGCCATTTGCTTCTTAAGCAAAGAACAAATAAATTAATGAGTGCCCTAAATATCTATTTTTTTCTTTCCACAATTCTTGATAAAGTTTCTAAGTGCTCAATTGGATAATATATCAATTTCATTCTGTAGAAAAACAGGGAGTTACATTTATGTGTAAAAACAAACAAACAGTGGCATTTCACACAAAAAAATAAGTTCAAGGCTGGCTACGTCCCTAGTGTAGCCATGGTGGTTCAAGCAGAGTATATAATAGCATAATTTAGACTCAGTTACAAAATTGATGAGTTCATCAAAGTGATCTAAAATAAGGATGCATGTACAAATATGCAGCCATCAGTCATTGCCCACCCAATGTCTGTCTCATCCCCTCTCTTTATTAAGAGAGCTCTAATTTTGACTGGAAATGCAATGGACCCAAACCAGCAAAAAAAAAAAAAAATAAGATGGGACTAAGCCAACCACGGCTATCCTGCTTGACTCTGGAAAACACTTCCTTTTTGAGCTTCCTTAGCAATTATCGGTGGCCACGTGATCAAATTGTGAACAACGAGATGTAAGAAGTAGCCTGCAAGGAGGTTTCTAAAACATATTAATGCTATCATTTCCTTTTCTAAATAAACAAGGTAATGGTGGCCACTGCCCATCACCCTGCAGGCTTGATGCTGTGATGCTGGGGCCGGCTATGAAGGACAGCGGGTGGCAGAGCTACAGAGAGCCCAGTCAGTGCTTGAGGTGACACACACGAGTCCCTACGGGTTAAGCTTCTGATAACTGAGTGATCTATCACTGCCGGTGGACAATAAACAAAGCAACCCAGTTTTAAAACGTGATGCATTTAACTGAAACTTAGAATGAAATAAAAAGTATATGAAAAAACTTTCTTTACAACAACTTTATCTTTTCCTTTATGTTTTATAAATATATTTAGGTTGTGATTTTGTCAAAATATTCTATGTGGTTCCAATGAAAATGTCCCTTATAAATGTTTTAAAGGTATCATCCTGAACGGTGAATAACATCTTAGGTAGTTAAACCAATTTCCAATGAAAGAATCTGGCAGTGCTGCCTGGGGCCCTCCTGGTGCCAGGGTGCTGTCGGGCGCCATTCGTCTCCCCAACTGTGACGTGCGCAGCTCCGGCTTTTGCCCAGATTCCCACGTAGGCTCCCACGACAAAACTCTTTCGTCCGCTCTCCGCTCTCACCTTCCCCTGAACCACGGGCTAAAGCCAACTCCAAGGGGCTAGTCTGTTCCCTCCATGCTCTTCTCTCTTCTACCAGCATTCTCCCACCGCATCCTCAGCTAAAACAGTGGAGGAACCTGAGAGCCACTGAAAGGACCCAGAGCTCTTCTGAAAACAGTAATGTCTTCCAACACATAACACTGCTGTGTTCTACACATGGATGTTCTGTGGCCATTTGCAGGAGCTGGCTCTCGGGAGGTCAGCTGAAGATCCATTTTCCCAAACACTGATTCACCCAGTAAGTGAAATGCCAATTTACCTCATATACTAATGTATTCAAAGTTTACTTGATTATAAAACCAGTACCCTGGTCGTTGGTGCTCTGAGCTCTTCGGGTCTCTGTCCTGCCCTCAGCACGCTGTGCGCTGAGTTGCACATCCTTTCCTCTATTTGCCCTGACTCCCTCTAACCAAGAGGGGGACAGAGACAAAATTAACATCCCAAGTGCTCCGAGGAAGACAAAATTGTTCAAGTCATATTTGAGATGACTTTGAAAGCCATTTCAACAATCCAACTCAATATAAGAGGCTGCACACTTTATAACTGGCTAAAAGAAACACATTTTTGGTAAATCAGCAAATCTTTAATAGAGAAAAATAGTTGGAAAGTAAAAATATATATATATATCCTGGAGAAACAAAATTACTAAAATAAAGATTAGGAAGAAATCAGTATACCCCAAAGTTCCCATATGACATAAAGTTATTCATAAGAATATATGCACAAATGTATTATGAAGAAAACTCTCATATGAAGATGAATTCACCTATGATCCTTAGCTTTCAACAAGCTAAACATTTCTTAAAATCTGTTTTAAAAAAATCACTATTTTGAAGATAATCAAATGGACATTGCAATCACAATATAAATATGTTACAATAGAATGTTCCAAAATATCCCTTATGATATATATATTTTTGGTAAGTTAGTAAATTTGGCAAAATCAGTAAAATAATAAATTAGTAAATTAATCTGTAGCCCCTGGAGATAGATGCTGGAGGTAAAGACTACTACAGGTTTAAACACTAGCCATGGATTACCCGAAACTACTGTGAGTTTTAAGAAAATGACACTACTACATAGCAGCATTTACTTAAATTCTTAAAATTTTAAATCACTTGTACTGGCTGACACTGATAGCCTGAAGTGGTTCAGAACCCCCGACTTTAAATAGGTCACTTTATATTTAGAATTTGCATACAGTGTATGATATATACGTAAACTATCAAAATAATGCTTTAAGATGGAATAAATCATTAAAACTGACAGTTCTTTACGGTAATACTTTGAGGTGTTTTTTTTTTTAATTATTATTTGTTTGTTTGTTTTTTTCTTTAGCGTGGCTTTTTTCCAGGTGTGGAGTTTGGTAAAGGGGAAAAAGAAGGAAATACCTTAACCTTTTATCAGTTTACTCTTGACTGGATAATTGAGCAGTGCAACATCACAGCGTGTGGCTGAGAGGGCTGGGGCCCGCAGTGAGGACCAGAAGGCACGACACAAAGAGGTGGGCTTCAGAAAGGAGGGGGGAGGCGTGGCGTCCACAAGGCCCAGAGATCTCAGGGCAGCACTGGTGGCAGGATACAGGGCAGAAGGAGCGCGGGGCGTCCCAGAATCAGCAAAGGGAAGACCCGGGGTGTTTACGGCGCCCTCTCAACCGTAAGGCCTTGAAAGAAGATAAAGCCACCCAGAAATGGCTTCCCTGTAGGCCTAACATCAAAACACAAATCAAAACAGACCGCAGGTCCAGGTTACACCCTCCCCACTGGGACATCCAAAACGGGCCTTAAAAAAGAAAAATATTGAATAACGAAATAATTTGCAACGACCCTTCCATTAAACTCGACACACTCAGAAATACCTACCAATTGAACTAATAAGACAAAAAAGGAATAACGCATACTTTTCCTCAGTAAACTTACATATATTTCAAGACGGCATTACATGTGAGAGTAGGTTCTGATATTAAGTAAGTAGACTCCTGACCAGCAATTAATCTCTAACAAATATTAAAGAATCATTATGCATTTAGACTATATTTCTTAATAAATTTCCTCACATAAATTGTCCCTAATCTATAAACCAATTTTAAATAAAATCCATCATGGCAGGCATTTTACATCTTACTCTGCTCACTGCACCATTTCTCATCGGAAACCTTTGAGCGTTAATGCTATTCCGCAGCAGACTGTGGAATTACAGTGGCAAATATAAAGTTCTTTGTGAGATAAAGTAATTATAGTGATTGTAAGGGGACAAAATCATCCAGAGTTCTTGGCAGCAGCCATCTCCTAGATTCTGATTCATTTTAAGACTAATAAACTGAGAGCAAGCAAGCACTTGTTAATGGTGGATAACTTGGGTTACCCAGAGTTTGTGCTGGAGGGATTAATGATTTGTAACTTAATCAGCACAGAAGCGTTCTAGAGGTGTGAGCGTGTGCTGTGAGTTCAGCAGTCGCTTCCATGCATTTTTGAAGGAAACTCTTCACCTGAACAAATAACAATAAGGACTAACAGTTTCTGAGTGTTCATTATGTGCCAGTTTAATGAGTTAGGCCATTTAATCTTTGCAGTAACTTTAATGAAATTTTTACTTCCATTTTGCAACAAGGAAACTGATAAAAAGAAGTTAAGCAACTTGCCCAAAGTCACACAGCTAATAAGCACAAGAACCAGAATTCCAACATCGCCAGGTAAAGGGACCACAGGCGGCCAATTCTCTCCAGCTCTTTCACTTCTCCTGACCAGTATTCCACGGCGCAATGCCGTATGCTGCGTGTTACCTCACTTCTTCATCCATCTCTCTATCTTTTATTATTAGAATCAATAAATATTTTACTCATAAACATCCCTACTGTGTTTTAAGCCTAGTCCTGTCAGAAAAACTAGGCTGTTTCTTCCTATAACAGAAGGTTTTTTTCTACAGGAGGCACCGTTTACTTAGAATGTAGTCAACGGCGGGCATGGCGGTCAGACGGGACTAGGGGCTCATCGTGACGCAGGGAAGAGCTCTGTCAGACTTACAGAGCGGACCCCTGCAGGGGTGAGGAGGGAGAGCCCTCTTAGAATGATCCCCAGGTACAGACTCCTCTTTATCAATAAGCATCACATTCTAATGAAACCTCTTCAGCCCAGGAAACATTGTTAGCAAATCATACCATCTCTGGGACTCTTGTGTTTGTATAAATTGGTGCTGGAAAATCTTTGAGAGCTGGGCTATTAATAAAAGCCGCATCTGACGATATATCTTGCTTCCTCACTGGAAGGTTCACTCTTCACCCCACACACTTATCATTTAATAACAGGACAGACAGGAGAAGGAAGCATACCTCCTGACATTCTAACCTGGAGTTTGCAGGATCCAAGGGGGAACGGAGGGGGTGAGCATCTTTAAGTTTCTTGGTGCTGTTTCCTTTTCAAATACGAATTCCTTCTTTAATTTCTAGTATGTCTAAAAGTGGTGTATGGTCTACATAGCTTGAAAAACCTTCCTTTTTCTGCCTGCTCTTCTGGGTTAAGGGGGAAAAAAGCTACGGATATGACCTCGTCACCATTTGGTATTCCACACCGATGAGCGATGACACCGGTTACTTTAAGTCACCCATTTTATGGTTCAAGAACTCAGTCAGAAAAGTATCACGCACGGGCAAAAGCGTCTTCTCATCTGTGTTCCACCCGTGTCATTGCTGGGTGAACCTAAGTGGACAGCCTTTGAACAGGCAATTGAAAATGGGACGCTTGCCATGTTTTTTCAACCAGCCATTTTTCGCTATTTTCCAGTGACCTTTCATTTTTCTAGCGGCTATTGTGATTAGTGGAAACCCTAGCTGAGGTCAGTATGAAATAAAGAAGATAATGTGATTTGGAGACAGAAGAAAACCTGGTGCCCAAGCTGATTCTCAACATGCCCTCGGGGCAGGCCAAAACTTCGGACGTCAGTTTCCCCATCCTTAGCATGGTGACAGGAGTGGCTATCCATCTTCCTTGTCAATTTCTTATGAGTATCATATTGAGTAGGAAACACTTAAACAGCTAAACATTAGTGCATTACGCATGAGTGGCAGCTCAATATTACTGCCTGCAAATCTTAAACAGCATTGAGGAAATGCTGGAATTATGAATAAATCCTCCAAAACAAGAACAAAAAAATTAGGTTACTATTATGACTCATGAAAGGCATGGGGCTTGTTGCAGATGAATTTCTCCAGACCAGAAAAAATAAAACTACATTTAAAAAAATAAGCCAGGTGGCTAAATGGGTTCCAATTTTTCTCCTTGTATATGAGAAGCTCCCTGCAGAAGTTCAGACAAACCATACACCGCTCCACCATCACTAGTCAGCCACACAAGAACCTAGTTCTTTTTTTTTTTCTTTTCCATTTCTCCTGACCAGAGAAAGCTGTTAAGTTGCAGATCTTTACAAATTTCAGGAAAATGAAAGCAAATACTTGACTATTCTCTACATAGAAATCTTTCCTATTGGGCAAGTTCAGCACCTGCTCCATCATTGCCAAGTCTAACTTGCAGAGAATCAGCGATGTGACTGGTCACCAGCTCCACGGTGACATCACTTGAAGATTCTGTTGGGTGTGCATTTGTTTTTATTAATACAATATTGAAATGCCTGTTCTGCTCAGTTGCTAGGTGCCAGTTACGCTACATCTAGCAACTGTACTGAAAATGTGAATCAAATAGTCTTTAAATCATCACTAAGGTTGCCATTTTCCTTAAATCCTTACGCATATTTTTCCAAGAGCATTTTTGAATGATAATGGAAGTCAGGGTTTGAGTTGGATAATGGGACATTGATTAGTAGACTTGCAGAGCAAGCAGTCTAGCCTAGAAAAGGCCAGGACTTCTAGGGAACACAGAGGACTTGTCACTCCTGGAGACAACATTTATTAAGTGTGAGACTTGGGCTCATTACTTAACCTTATGAAGTCTCTTCATTAAAAACACTGGATGATAACACCCACTTCGCAGGTCTGTCATGAGAACTGGAGAAAAATACAAGTCCCGGAACATTAATATAAGGAAGAACATAAATAAATTGTTGCAAAACAATCATAATTGCTCTGAGAAGTATGACTATAAAATGCCAACTAGAATTTCTAAAGCATGTGGATCTGTGTGAAAGTTCAAGTGCAGATGACGTTCATTCAACATTATTAGTTCTGTGCCCTCATGTGGGCAAGACACTGTGTGAAGTGTTGGAAATAAACCAGGGACCCCCACTGACAAGTCATCTGATCTTATGAGGCTTACAGACTCTTGGAATGTAGACAAATGGACGACTGCATAGAATGTGGAACAGAAATTTAATGATATCTGTAATAATGGACACGAAGTTTTGACCTGACGAGGGAAAAGGAGGGACAGCTCTAGAAAAACTTAAGGGGGGAATAATGGAGGGGGAATAAAAGTTTGAATTTCATAATCAAATGTGGAGCAGTTCTGGGAGCTGACAATGTCTGGGGTGGCCACAGGAGTGAGCATCTGCTGAGGGGCTGGACCTGGTGAGCAAGGAGAGGTGACATCCTCACAGAGCTATCGATGACTGAGCTGGGGGCGGGGCTTCCTCTTCTCTGAATGGAGTTAGCCAAAGCCTGGACTGATTCATGAAGTGGACATCAGTGTGTGTGTGTGTGTGTGTGTGTGTGTGTGTGTGTGTGTGTGTGTGAGAGAGAGAGAGAGAGAGAGAGAGAGAGAGAGAGAGAGAAAATAATAATGATATGACAATAATAATGGAACATTTAAGATTTCTAAGTATTTATGGTCCAGCTACCATTCTAAGTACTCTTAATATAGTAAGTCATCTTCACAACAAATAAGAAATGGATACCATACCCCGGTTAACCGATGCCCCACGGTCACATAGGCGGGCAGTAATGAAGTGGGATGTAACCCAGGCAGCCCAGCTCCAGAGTCATCTTTTGAAGCTCACATCGTGTGTCTCTCGGCGACACCCCACTTTTCACTGAGAGCTTGCCAGGCCCTTCTCACACCCAAGAGGTACGTACCACACACACTCTGCTGGTTTTCCTGTTCTGTTTGTTTTCCATTTTTCCCTGATGGGACATGCTTTTAAATGAGAAATTTCATGGAAACTTCCACTGTTCATTAAATAAAAGATCAGGCACACCAAGCCTCCTCCCCCCGACTTGTTACCACCTGGCAGGAGCCGCCTCCTGTCTGTGGGCCATGGACTCTCCCACCCACCATGGTCCTCACCGCCCCCCAGTGCCAACACCTGATTTAGTTTTTAAATCACCTGGCTGCTCACTGGGGACGTTTCAGCATGTGGGCCGTAGGGTGCATGTGCGTGTGGGAAAGGGGGGGAAGCTATAGGGCTTACCAGGAGTTTAGATCACACAGCCCTGTAGGAATTCCTACCCTATCATTATGAGCACTAGTCTTTTTAATCTCTTTAAGCCTCCTTTTCCTCCAATCTAAAACAGAGTTGCTAATAGTACTTAACTCAAAGTGTTAGGAAGTAATTAAATGAGATAACCCATGAAAAGAATTACATTTGGAGTTCCACAGTAATTGGGTATTAGTCTTTCCATCAGGGACCATTGGAGGTTAGTACAAATAGCTTGCATTCACCACCTACCTGGGGGGTGGGGCAGAAGAGCCTGGTTACTGCACTGGGAAGGCGGGAAGGGGCAGGGAGTGGGGGGCAGAGGGGAGAGCCAGGTGGCAGGAAAGCCCTGTGGGACTCCAGAAAGGCATGTCTCCCACAGCAGCACTGGCAGGGACGCCCCCAGGGAAAGCTCCACTGGGGTGCATCAGGACTAATGTGGCATCACGCATGGATTTGTCCTCCTATGCAGGCTTGCCTGCACAGCTAAAACGTTGTATCACAGTGAAATACTGAATTACATTTTCTGAGTAATTGCACCCTTCTCCCCAGGCTTGAGGCAAGGCTCCACAAGCTCCCCTTTACTGGGCACATCCTAGACCCTTCCCCCGTGTGCCATTACATCCATTTGCTGGGCCACCGCCCTAACACAGGCCCTCTGAACATATGAATAGTTGATGAACTAACCTCTCTGTCTTCAATCTGCCACTACCTAATCTGTCAGTCCGGTGACACAATGCTACAGCACTTAAACAGTTCCAAAACATCATTTCATGCAGCACCTCCATTTTTACCATTTCACCTTGTTTCCCCGCTGTCTGCAGGATAAAATAGAAATTCTCTAGCCATCACTGGGGCCTGCCGCAGTAACGGGGGGGCTTTGTCTCCACGTCAGCCCCTGATCCCCAAAGCGCTTCATCCTCCTGTGCCTCCTGGGTTGCGCTCTCACCGCTGAGCTGACCAGAACGCCCTCCATGGCCCCATGTGCAAGTTCCCATCCACGTCAAACGCTGCCAAGTCCCACACAACCATCCCTCCAAGGCGCTGAGCCGCCTGGGTCCATATTTCACATCGGGGTCAGCAAGCCTTCTCGCTAAAGGGCCAATGAGTAACTACTCATGTGTTAGGATCTGCAGGCCACCCAGTCAGTGTCACAACAATGCAATCTGGCCCTCAGGCACAAAGCTGTGCAGGCAGCATGGATGGGAATGGGTGGGGCCATGTGCCAATAAAACTTTATTCTGGAGCTGTAATTTACACTCATATGGTGTTCATGGGTCACAAAATACTCTTCTTCTTCAGTTTCCCAAACACTTAAAGAACTTTAAAAATCATCCTTCACCCCTGGGCTGTACGAAAAAAAGCCGAGGCCACCGCAGGCGGCAGTTTGCCAATCCCTGTTTCAGACATACTGTGCACTGATCCACAACTGTCCTTCCCACCTTGGTATTGAGGTGTCACGCATATTTAGCAGCCGTAAGTGCACCTTGGAAGTGAACAGCCCAATGAGTACTGACATATGTGGACAAACATGTTACCACCACAGACCAAGATAGGAGGCCTTTTCGGTATCTTAGGAAGCTCCTAGAAGACACCCACCCCGCCACAGTCTAACCTCTCCGTGTTTTAAAAGCAGCCTCTGTCTTCCTTTCAATAGGCCTGGACTAAAGCAATGGAGGCACCGGTCATGAACTACCGAACTTTTACAGAATAGTGCATTTTTAAATGAAACTTCAGATACCATTCACCACTGGAACCACAAAGAAGAATGTATATGAGATAACACGGTGATATCTGATTAGAAACCAAAGGCAACCCTAAAAACACACGTTCATGTCTGGGCAGTCTCTGCGAGTGCGCGTCCTTACCTGGGCCAACGTGAGTGTGGCTTGTCGGCAGGTGCCGCACCGCACCCTGAGCTTTCCTGGCTGCACGCTTTGACAGGGGCCTTTGCAGTAGACATAAAAGCTGTTGTAGGTGGGTCTACCTGCTGAGGAAAAACAAAGCAGAGAAAGTCACCAATCAATGCTGAGTCCAACTGAGACAAAATTTAGAACTGACTCCTCAGGGGCATTTTGAAACATTAATGGGCTCAATGCTCCAGCAAGGATACAACAATTTAATTTAGAAAATCCAGTTTTATGCTAAAAAGAGTGAAAAGCTTTTCTTCTTGCCAACAGCCCTGTGACTTCCTCAACAGAGCAAGCAACCTGCTGCCAAGAAAGCTGGCCAAATGTGTGTGCAATGCAGGGAAATGAAATGCACCCTTTGCTGCTGAGATTTTTATAAGGACGGGAGATGTACAGACTACTGGAAATTTAGAGTCCAGTGCTCTTGAATTCTGCTTCATGCTTCTGTACACAGTTGTGAAGGCTCCAGGTTTTTCCTCTTTCAATTTCTTCTAAAGGGGCCGACCAGCCCATTTCTCATGACATGAATGATAGCATCACAATTTGCTGGGTTTCCAGGGAAGACTTTGCAACACACAGTCACACATACAGGAAGACACAAGCGTGGGCAACGTGTGTATGGAAATGGGTGCTTTGCATTTCATTCACGTTCTCCACCCAGGTAAGGGCCATTCAGAAAATACTTTCAAGAGCAAAAGATGGACAAAAATGAAAAAAAAAATTATCTCTGATCATTTCTGTCAAATGTCACCATATGGGGATAATATTATTCTATAACTTAGGAGAATCTTTCTAAATGGTTTCACGTTTCCATGTCTGCAAAGAATTAACTTTATGCAGAAGCATTTACCAGTAATATAACTGGCTTGCTAAATTTCTAAAATGAGCAAATACTTCTTTTAATCCTTATCTTACGTAGGGACACAGCACTGGATCGCAATGTTGTAGGGCGCCTGCTCTGAAAGGTCAGGGCAGGGGCAGCAACTTGGGTGCGTGTCAACCAAAGGTGGTTGGCAACGGCTCAAGGACTGAGACAGGAAAGGGACAGTACTTGTGCAGGCTGAGGACAGAGAGTAGAGATTAAGCAGAAGTCAAGAGGGAGAAAGGAGGCTCTCTGTGGGCTGATTGCTTACCCCCCCATCCGCATTTGACGCAAATCCAAAATTTGCTTTGTCATCTCCCTCAATGAAAGAAAGATGCAAACGACCCTCCAGGTCTTTGTGACAGGCAAAGTCCCTCTACCCGCATGTCTCTGCATACTTCTTTTCATCGTCAGTCTCATTGTGGGGAGCTGTCCCCACGACCCCACACCTTACTTCGAGCTGAGTGGGAGTTACATAAGGTCATGGCATAAAATTGTGTTTAAAAATTTAGTATTATAATCAAGAGCATTTAGAAATAACAAATAGTATCTTTGACCATTATGAATGTAAAACTTGAGCCTCTCAAATGCAGATGGTGTATTAAAAATAACTAGTACAAAAAAATGAGAAAAAAGAAATCCTAAGGTCTTATGCAGCTCCGTTTGTTTTACAAATTTACAAAAAGACCCTCTGTAGACACAGAATTGTTGCTTATTTAGCCACCTTTACTAATATTAGAGGTGACAGTACTTTGCAAAATGTAGAGCACAATACAGATATTGACTTTCATATTTTTGTCATCTATTGGCAATATATTGTATAATCCTTAGTCTCCAGAGATAAATATTTGGCTTCCAGGGTGAAAAGGGAGGTATAGATATATCTTTGTATTGATAAAAAACTATGGTTTTCTGACTCTTCTTTGTAACTTTAGTGCCTTCATATGCAACAATATCACATTGTTAGCAATATAATAATTACAAAAAATATATTCTTAAGGTTTTACGTATATCATAAAGGCAACAGATAGAAAGATATATTAAAGTTATAGAAATACCATCATAACTGACAATATCAGAAGATCACAAGAACTGTGACAATTTTAATGTGTGCTAAGATGAGCTTAGTGAAGGAGCTAGGAACCCTTATTGTTAAAACCTTTATCAGCAATATCAACACATCCAACTTCACAATTTTTAAAACCTACTGTAAAGGAACGGGAAGAAGGAAACCTTACAAAGGGGAGTAAGGCTGCAAAGACACCATCATTGTTGAAAGAGCATTAGCACAGTTTTACAATAGTAAACAGGCATCTCAGAAACTGCGGGAAACGGATTCCTCTCTCCCTTAGGGTGATGGCAACGTCTGCACTACGGTTTCAACTAATGATACACCCAGGCAAAAGTGAAGACTAGGGAAGCCCTCCACCTCTGTGTGCTATCTCCTTCTCTAAAGGCCTTAGGAGTGAGTGGGAAAACACGGCATGCCAACTCCTTGTTGCCAAGCACACAGAGTGATGTGCACTCTATTACACAGAGCCAGCCGCTGGCTGGGCATTAATCGCCATCTGAGGAAGATCAAGGTCAGGCCAGTCCCGGCTGCGGCACATTTCAAGCTGTTGGTTCTATCTGGTCAAGCCGTCGGGGCTTCAGGTAAACCTCGAGATCCTGTTTCCAGGATGGCGTCCCCACCTGTCTGGCTCCACAGCACCACTGAGAGCTGGCGAGCTTGTCTATGCCTAGGACCGGAATAAGAACGAATGACGCGAACAGCACCTTGACGATCTTCCAGGCGATGCCCCCATCGGCCAGAATGAGGTCTGGGGTATGGGCTCTCCATGGGGCCGTAGCTCCTAGGGAACAGCAAGGCAACTCTGCGCATGACCTGAAAACCTCCTCTCTAGGTACACAGCTGTCTCCAGCCACGACATGAGTTTTCCCCCTTTTACGCCTGTTTGGGTCTGAAAATCCTTTTTCTCTCCTAATCCACTCTTCTGTATGGCAACCCTTTCCCACCCAAAATAATTAAAGCAGCCTGTGTTTGTGTTTATAGATTTCCCTCTTTGTATTATAATAGCTTTCAACACTACAGAAATATTTAAAATTTTTTTCACATTATATCCTTCACTGTAATTCACCAATTGTGAACATTTTGTGTAGTTTAGTGTACCCTGTCATGTACAAATATATACATACACTACACATAAATAATTATTTTGTTGAATCATTTGTAATTAAGTTGTAGATATTATTGTACTCACCTCTAAATCCTAAAGTGACTTTTTTTTTTCAATAAAACCATAGCTGGCTTATCTTTAACTTTTCTCTCCCACTTTGGCGAACAGAATCATTAGTCACATCTCCTGTCCCCATACTCTCTTTTTGAGGGGTTTGGTGGTTTCTGCGATTCTAGTTATAGACTAATCAAGTGCTTCAAGAACACTGCAGTGGTTGCAGGCTGTTAAAAGGTATCGAAACAAAATATCAGATTTCTTTCATCAAAATATCGGGGATTCTTTGGTCAAAACATGGGGGACTCTTTAATCATAGGTGATGCTAAGTTAAGCCGAGTCCTCTCACTGCAGGACTTACAGACTCTTGAGGCGGGAAGTACAGAGAACAGCACATCCCAAACTTTATCTGACAAAGGGAGCCTTCCTTTTGTGAAGCATTGTATGAAATTGTCTTTCTACAATAATAATAATAGTAATAATAATAATAATAATAATAATAATAATAGTAAAACAACTGGTGTAAGGATTCAGCCCACTCTGTGGGCTTCATCTACAGCAAGCTAAGCTGCTAATGTTTATAAACCCGGCTTTGTAAACATTCCTGAAGAGCCTGCTGACAATTAAACTCTCCCCTCCACCCCAAGCCATTAATAAACCAATATAATTAATATACTATGATCCAGGAAGGTTGGTCTCTTGATATAATGATTTTACTAAGTAAAGCATATTCATTTCATTCTGAAGTTCTTTTTTGTTTCTTTCTTGATAGAGGTGAAAAGCACAGTTAATGTGCAGAACCCTTTTTGAGCATGAGTGACTGTCAGTTCAAAGCACCCACAGGGCTTCCCCATCCCCTAGCATTATCATTTTATCATTATCTTTCGTTTTTCTCCTGCTTTGTCAGGTTAGCATAACCCTTAGTCACATCTCCTCTCTTCCCTTATTCTGTTCTTGCTTCAAAAATCGCCCAAAGCCTTAACAATATCCACAATATATTGGGTTGTCGGAAAAGTCATGACACACATTTGTGACAGATGGCACTAGTTCATTTCTGGAAGTACTAGAGTCATTTGTATCTAGGTTCTTGCTATGTCATTTGACAGCTGATGGTTCTAGCTTCATTCTAAAAAAAAATGAGCAATTTGGTTTAGTTTTGGAGATCTTACAACAAGTTGAAGATAAAAGACCAAACTGTGCATTTTTGCCATATTTTACTGTTTTAATTCCATAAATGAAAGAATGTGTGTTAACCTTGTGAAAAGTTGCATAAAGTTTACGGTGACAATGCTCTACAAGAATGTCAGTGCCAACGATGGTTCACAAAATTCCATACTGGTGATTTTTATCTCAACAATGCTCCTTGGTCAGGGAGGCCCACCCAGATTGATGACGACAAAATAAAGGCATTGACAGAGTCAAACCCACGTTACATGACACGAGAGATTGCAGAAACGTTGAACATCCATCATTCAAGCATTCATGACCACCTGAAGAAGCTGGGATACATAAGCAAGCTCGATATTTGGGTTCCGCATGAACTCAAAGTTTATTTGATGGCGCATATAAATATCTGCAATATGCTCATTAAATGTGAGGAAAACAATCCTTTTTTGAAGCGACTTATAACCGGTGATAAGTGGATTGTTTACAACAATGTGGTGCGCAAACGGTCTTGGTCCCGACGTGATGATTCATCGAAAGCCGACATTCATCAGAAGGTTATGCTCTCAGTGTGGTGGGATTTTAAAGGTGTCGTGTTTTTCGAGCTCCTACCAAGGAACCAAACAATCAATTAGAATGTGTACTGTTGGAATTGGACAGTTTGACTGAATCCATTATCTAGGAACGTCCAGAGCTTATTAATTATAAAGGAGTTGTGTTCCATCACGACAATGTGAAACCACACACAAGTTTGATCTGCCGTCAAAAATTATTGGAGCTTGGACGGGATGTGTTGCCACACCCACCATACTCGCCTGACCTT